GCATTCCTGGCTCCCATTATTTCCAACGGGCCTTCCAGCGTCTCCCATTGTTTCCAATGGGCAATCCTGTCCTTCCTTTTAGTACATCCCCGCTGAGAGCGATGCATTCCGTCAGGCTCCCTGCCTGGGCGGGGGGAAGGACCGGCCCTCCCCTCCCCTCCCCTCCCCTCCCCCCTGGGAGCTCCGCCCTCGCATTGCAAACGGGAGGAAGAGGCGGAGACTCCCGGAGCCGGATCTGGCCCTCTCCCTGCGCTGTAGGCCGGTTCCCCGCGGCGGTAAGCACCTCTCCGGCCTCCTCCCTCCCGGGCAGGGGTGCAGAGAAATTCCCCCCACACGTTGGAGAGCCGGAAAGAGGCCGGCCTCTTGCACGCTGGCATGGGGTGACTTTAAAAGTAAAGGTCTCCCTTGCTCGAAAGCCAGTCGAATCCGACTCTAGGGTTGCGGTGCTCATCTCCGTTTCCCAGCCGAAGAGCCAGCGCTGTCCGAAGACGTTGCGGGTGGTGGTGGGGGGGAAGGGTTACCAGATCCAGGATGGGAAAGTCGCGAAGGTTTTTCAGATGGAGCCTCTGTGGAGCCCAACGCCACGGAGCCCGCCTCCCGAAGCATCCCTTTGCTGCGGGGAAACGGGTCTCTGTTGTCTGGAGCGGAGCTGTGAGTCCGGGGAAGGGGGGGGGATCCCCAGGTCCCGACGGGAGGCTGGCATCCCAAACAACTTGCAGATGTTGCACGGCGCGCGCGCAGAAAGCCCAGGGGCTTGCGTTGGGCTAGTATGCGGGACGCCTCCCCCCCCAAAAAAAAACATCTGGCTTGCATTTTTGCACTGGGGGCGCGGGAAAGTCCCGGGGGCGAAGCAAGCAAGGCTTCCCGCACATGCGCAGTGCAAAACGCAAGGCCAGCGGCTCCCCTTGCTTGCTTCGCCTTTCGCTTTAAGCTGGGAGATGCGCGTGCTCCATATAGGGGGTGGGGGGTCGTGAAATGGACATCTTTCCAAACAGGAGCTGCCTTCCAGCTCGCCTGACCCGTAGCGCGGAGCTGACTCCTCCTTGCAAGGCACCTGCGCCTCTGAGAAGTGGCTGGCAGGCAGGAGTTCCACCGGTGCGGCTCCTTCTCTGAAGACTTTCCGTGCGCCTGCGCAGACGGGGATCGGCTGCCCCAACAGTAGGGTTCCCAGCTCTGGATTGGGAAATACCTGAAGATTTGGGGGGGTAGAACCCAAGGAGGGGAGGATTTGGGGGAGGGGAGGGGCTTCAGTGCCGTAGAGCCCACCTTCCAAAGCAGCCATTTTCCCCAGGTGAAGTGGTCTCTTTCCGCCTGGAGATCAGTTGTTGTAGCGGGGGATCTCCAGGCACCACCTGGAGGCTGGCAACCTACATTGCAATCATATGGAAGTTAAACAAGTGGCTGACCTGTTGGTTAGTGATGCAGAGAGGAAACCTGGTTGCTGGCTCTGGGTTGGGAAATACCTGGAAGTTTTGGGGGTGGAGCCTGGGGAGGACAGGGAGGGCCTTGGGGAGGGGAGGGGCCTCAGCTGGGGTACCATGCAATAGACTCCGCCTCCCAAGGCAGCCATTTTCTCCAGGGGAACTGATCTCAGGAGACTAGTTAATTCTGGGAGATCTCCGGCTGCCGCATGGAGACTGGTAACCCTAGGTGGGAGACTGTGCTTGGGTTGCCAGCTTTGGGCTGGGAAATTCCTGGAGGTTTGGGGGGTGGAAGTTGGGGAGGTTGGCGTTTCGGGGAGGGACCTCAGAGTGGTGTAATGCGGTAGACTCTGTCCTCCAAAACTGCCATTTCCTCCAGGGAAACTGATCCCTGTAGACCAGTTTGGAAATCTGGGAGATCTCCAGGCCCCAACTGGAAGTTGAACTGTCAAAATGTTTTGACTCGAGGGTTGCAATGCTCATCTCCGTTTCCAAGCCGAAGAGCCAGCGCTGTCCGAAGACTTCTCCGTGGTCATGTGGTCGGCATGACTCGACGCCGAGGCGCACGGAACGCTGTTACCTTCCCACTGAAGCAGTACCTATTTATCTACTTGCAATTTCTTGCTTAACAATAGCACTGTGTAAATATTATAAAATATATACAGTCGGACTTTAGATGTTTTTGTACTTATAGTTCCATAAACAAATATATAGTAAACTGTTTATAAATCCAAAGATAGATTTTTGTATACAGAATGTCAATTACATGAACAGTAACTTTCTTTCAAAGATATCTCATATGATTATAAGAGCTGAAGTCTTGAAACCAGCCAAAAGACTACAAACAAATCTTAGACGCCTTGAAGACCGCAAAAGAACTTCAAGGCTACGAGAACTGGTGTAACCTCGTTTCTGACGCCTTCTTCAGGTCTTATAGCATCAAAATTGAATGCATATAATTCTAAAAATATGCACTCAATTTTGATGCTGTAAGACCTGGAGAAGGCGTCAGAAATGAGGTTATACCTGTTCTTGTAGCCTTGCAGTTCTTTTGCTGTCTTCAAGACTTCTAAGATTTGTTTGTAGTCTTTTGGCTGGTTTCAAGATTTCAGTTCTTGTTATAAATCATATGAGAGACCTTTGAAAGAAAGCTACTGTTCATGTAATTGACATTCTGCATGCAAAAATATTTCTTTGTATTTATAAACAGTTTACTATATATTTGTTTATGGAAAAGTAAGTACAAAAAATATCTAAAGACCAAGTGTATACATTTTATAATATTTACATGGTGCTATAGTTTTGACAGACCGCGGTGGCTCAGAGGTTAAGACGCTGAGCTGCAGACTGAAAGGTCTGTAGCTCGGCAGTTCGAGACCCGAGTGCCGCGTGACGGAGTGAGCTCCCGTCTCTGGCCCCAGCTCCTGCCAACCTAGCAGTTCGAAAGCAAGAGATTGCAAGTAGATAATAGGTACTGCTGCAGTGGGAAGGTAACAGCATCCTGTGCGCCTCGGCGTCTAGTCATGCCGGCCACATGACCACGGAGAAATCTTCGGACAGCGCTGGCTCTTCAGCTTGGAAATGGAGATGAGCATTGCAACCCTTGAGTCGGATCTGACTGGCTTTCGAGCAAGGGAAACCTTTATAGTTTTGGCAGTTCCGTCTTTACACCGTGGTCCTTGTGTTTGATAGCCCACCTGGAGGTTGGCAGGCATTGACATACCAGTCATCTGTAGTTATGCTGCGGCCCTGGGTGATGGGGAAAACTCTGCCAAGCGGGTTCTAACCCAGCTCTGATAGAGAACGCCTGCCTTCTGGAGCCCACCATGGTGTATCTCTGATGGATAGGAGAAGGCCTTCTCTGAGAAATTCGAAGTCCTCTCTGGAATTGTCAGCATACTTTTTAATTTGTTGAAAGGAAGTTCCTGGCCCGTAGGAAAGTGTGCTGGTAGGACTCCCCACTGTGTGTGTAAAGTGCCATAAAGTCACAGCCTGACTTATGGCGACCATGTTTTCAAGTCAAGAGATGAAGAGAGACGGCTTGCCATTGCTGCCTCAGCGTAGTAAACCCAGACGTCCTTGGAGGTCTCCTGCTCAAGCGCTAACTAGGTCCTAACCCGGCTTAGCTTCTGAGATCTGACGAGATCAGGCTAGCCTGAGTCACTCTGGTCAGGGCATAGTTAGAGATGTAAAATTTCCGGAAATTTTGAAGCTCGGAAAAAAACGGAAATTTTCGGAAACATTGAAAAAAATGCTACATTAGCATTTCTTTTTTCTTTTCCAGATTGAAAGTCATTCTGTTACTTTAGGAACATAAAATATAACTATGGACATTTTTACTTGGCATGAAATTATCACAACTAGCATATTAAAAATATAGTGTATCCAAATTATTACAAACAGAATACCCATCCACATGTAAAAACAAAACTGAAACTTTTTTATTTTCTTCTGACAATCGCACCTCCTAAAGGAAGAAATGCATCTTGTTCTTGCATTGGAGAGTTCAGTTTGTAACCTAGGACTTGCTTGTCCTCAGTGCACAAAAATTAGATCAATCTCATACCATATATATATATATATATAAGAAATGATTTGGAAAATATTTGAACACCTTGTCTTAAAATATTTTATTCATCATGTTAAAATAAAACGTTCCATAATCAATTTTTTTTCTTTTATTTTCTTTTTTCAATTTTTCCAATTTTTCGGAAAAAAACAAAAAGGCTTCAGGGGAAAAACTTTTTTTTCCACATTTTTCCGGGTTTTTTCCGGGCCTTCACATCTCTAGGCATAGTTGAGCTAATGTTTGCCATTGCCTGCCTCTGCGTAGCAACCCTGGACTTCATTGCTGGTCTCCCATCAAAGGGGTAACCAAGGCTGATCCCGCTTAGCTTCTGAGGTCTGATGAGATCAGGCTAGCCTGGGACATCCGGGTCAGGGGGGAAGAGGCACAGAGCTGGTTCACCATAGCCTGCCTCTGCGTACCAACCCTAGACTTCCTTGGTTGTGTCCCACAAGTACTGGCCATGGCCGACCCTGCTTGGCTTCTGAGGTCTGATGAGATCAGAATAGCCGGCAACGCTCCCTCTAAGCTGTGGGGTCTTGTGAGCAAAAATTCTACTTTGTGAGCTTCTGACACTAAAGTCGTGAGCGAGCGATTTGGCTACTCCATAAATTAGTTTGCTCTGGAGCCACATCCTACCTGAGCTAAGGCAAAAAAAGGTGTGAGCCGGAGGCTAAAAAACAGTGAGCTAGTGCACACTAACTCAGCTTAGAGGGAACACTGGACTTGGCGGTGCAGTTTTTCATGCGCATCCTTTGCACTCTCCTTCGACAGCTAGCAGCTGCCACCATGGCCACCAAACCCATTCTGGACTCGAAGCAGACCGAGGAGGTGGTGCAGGGCATCCGGACGGAAGTGGTGTGCACGGCCTTCGCCAACACCCTCCTCGTGGTGGTGACGCAGTATGGGAAGATGGGCACCCTCGTCTCGGTGGAGCCTGACGTGGTGGCCGATGGCGTCAGCAAGCCGTTGATCACCACCAAAGTCCTCCTCGGCAAGGATGAGGTAAGCCCAGAAGCAGATGATCCATTTGGGGGGGGGGGAGTAGAGACCCCATGGATTGGTTAATTAATTAATTAATCATTGTATGGCATTGTGTGTAGAACAGCCAGGAGAGCCTAAGATTGCCTAGCAGCCAGAAGTTCTAGCTCTTTTAGCATTACTAGGTGGCGAGCTAGACTTGTGTTCAAGGCAAGAGACATTTCAGAGGTGGTTTGTCAGTGCTTGCCTCTGTGTCACGACCCTGGTATTCCTTGGAGGTCGCTCTTCCAAATACTAGCTAGGGCTGAACCTGCTTAGCTTCCTAGATCTGACGGGATTAGGCTAGCCTGGGCTATCCAGGTTTGGAGTCCATGAATTGGTGAGAAATCCAAAATAGGAGCTAAGATACTGGGGGGAAGTGGGATTGCAGGTAAAGTCCTCCTCATAAGCCCTGCTTACTGTGGCCCCACAGAAGAGAAGGTGGGTGACGACCAAAGACGGGGCATTTTCAGTGGTGGCACCTCGTCTGTGTGAAATGCTGTCTCCCTTGGAGCATGCCTGGCACCTCCCTTGTTCTCCTTTACGGGCCAGTCTGAAATATTTATTTCCATCCAGGTTTTTAAATGAAGACTGTGATCTTTTTAAAACTGTTTTTACCATCTTCATCTAGCCTGAGGACTGTTATCCGTTTAGGATGCTAATTTTTTTGTCCTTTGACTGGTTTTTTTTTTATATGCCAATAAAGGTCTGCATATGTGTGACAGGGTTTTTAAATAGCTTGTTAATGTTTAATGTTGTTAATGGTGGGTTGTATAGAATTTTCACTTGCAAGATGCGCTGAGCAGGTTCTTAGCGGAGGTAGTATCTGAATGTTCAAAAGAAACCACTGCAAAAGCCACTGAACTAGATTAACTACCCAGTTAAAGTTAAAAGGTTGCAAGAGGTTCCCCAGGTATGCAGAAAAATACGAGAGCATAGCTGCCATCCTAAGAACACTTTCATGGGAGGAAGCCCCACTGAAATAAAATGGGACGCTTCTGAGGAGGCCTGCTTAGATAGCTCTCTTATGTTAACCAAAAGAAAAACAAACCTTCAAAAAGTAGCCTGATGAGGACTAAATGTGCCCAAGAATGGAAGGAATATTGAGTGCAGTTGACTATCAGAAAGTAGCCTGCTGGGGGAATAAATATGGCCCAGAAGGGAAGGACTGTATGAGGGCAGTTGAATATCAGAAAGGAGCCTGATGAGGACTATATATGCCTCAGAATGAAGGACTGTTGAGGGCAGTTGAATATCAGAAAGGAACCTGATGAGGAATAAATATGTCCCAGAAGGGAAGGAATGTTGAGGGCAGTGAATATCAGAAAGTAGCTTGATGAGGACTAAATATAGCCTAGAAGGGATGGAATGTGGAGGACAGTTTATACCTAGGGAACTCTCCAATCGTGCAGTACTATTTTTGCAAATTAAACAAAAGAAAACCCTCAGAGAACAACCTGACAAAGACCTCAATATGTTCTCAATCTGCTGCTTATGAGAATCTGGTCTGAATTAAAACATTCCCTAGTCCATCCCCATCACTGTAGGACACCTTTCCAAGCAGTCACAGAACCTGTGAGGCGGTGTCGTGAAAACAAGGCCTCTGAGCATGTCCTTGCTGCCCGTTTCATACGCTGGTGGCCATAATATTCCGGGGTTAGGTGGGAGAACAACGCTCAGGGGTCTTGGCTGTGGAGCAGGATCCGACCCGGCTTGGGAGATGCCTCCTCTGACGGGCTGTTTCTTTTGGTCTCCAGCCTCTCGTCCACATCTGTGCCAAGCATCTGGTGGCGTCAATCTCTCAGGAAGCCGGGAACAAGCCCGTCCTCCTCGCCATGGCCTTGAAGGACAAAAGCGTCGAGGGCATTCGGACTTTGCGGGAGGTGATCCAGAGGTGCAGGGTGTGGTGAGCACGCGCTGCCGGCATGGAGGGAATTTACCCTGGCTGAGTCAGCCACCTCTGGGAGGTAGACTTTGACCCTTGTGGATCTGACCCAACTGTCTTGGCTATGCGGTAGGGGAGGAGCATCGAATCCTGATACGACCCTGTTGAGCTCAAATGCCATTTTCAAGACAGAGATGAAAATGTCATCTGCCGCCTGGAACTTTGTTTTCCTTTGTAAGCGCCGATTTGGTTTTTTAAAAACCCTCTTGTCCTTTAATTTCCCTTTTGAGAAGTACACGATCCAGCCGTCCTTAAGCACTCTAAAGTCCTGTGGATTTCCATCGGCGAGCTCTCTCGGGGTGGGGGGGCAACGGGACTTGCAGCTTCGTGTCTTGCAAATAGGTCCTAGTGAGCGGAGTGGGGCCTGTCGCTCAGTAAGTGTGTAAAAGTGATGAATTCTGGCTGGATCAGACCCAGGGAGTTTTGGAAAGGGTGTGGAAGTTTCTGTTCATTTTTTTTAAAAAAAATTCCTCTTTCTGCCGTGGATGCAAAGCCGTTTCCAGAAAGCCACGGCCAGGACTGAGAAACCGAATCCTTCGCTTCCAACATGCTTTTTACCTCTTTCTCTGCCCTCTCTTTCCCCCAAAATGGGCTCTTTTGCCTGCTGAATTGCCCCGTGGTAAGTTTGGGAAGCTCTCAAACAGAAGTGCGAAGAGCTGTGATTTTGGAAATAAACGGGGACTCCTCTGTTTGGGACTCATCCCCTCTGGTGGGCCCCAAACGCTCTTTGGATCCCAGCTTACGTCCCAAGGGGGAAAAAAGGGAACAAGATTCAAACCTGCCGGCTGGGAGACGTAGCGTTTGACACGCTATGGGGAAAGCACTGATCGAACGTGTTAGGGAATATCTTTTTGCCTGCTGCATATAGGACACTTGGAGTTCAGTCCCCATGACATGGTTAAAAGAGGCATTTCAGGTCGTGTTGGAGAAGATGTGACCGGTCTTCGAAAGGGGATAAGTGTTTTTTGGTTATTAAGGAAAAAACTGTTTTTTTCTGGAAATGTTCTAAGTTGACATCAGTGTACCTCTGTTAGCCTCTATTCAATAAAGGGGTGTTATCAAATAAAAAAGATTAAGTTGTCTTTTTGTTTCCCGATTCTTTCCCCTTTTGCCTTATTGACAGACACGCTTTCCCTTCTGGCACTTGTAACTCCTGATACCAGGAGAGGGACAATTTTCCCTAATTCCATAGAAAAGAGTAAGAGTCCAGTAGCACCTTAAAGACTAACATTTGTGGCAGGGCTTTCGGGAGTCACTGCCCACTTCTTCAGATAAGAGTCTCCCGAAAGCCAGTCGAATCCGACTCTAGGTTCATCTCCGTTTCCAAGCCGAAGAGCCAGCACTGTCCGAAGACGTCTCCGTGGTCATGTAGCTGGCATGACTAGACACTGAGGCGCATGGAATGCTGTTCCCTTCCCACCGAAGCGGTACCTATTTATCTACTTGCAATCTCTTGCTTTCGAACTGCTAGGTTGACAGGAGCTGGGGCCAGAGACGGGAGCTCAGTCCGTCACGCGGCAACTCGGGTCTTGAACTGCTGAACTACCGACTTTCCGGTCTGCAGTTCAGCATCTTAACTGCTGCTACAGACAGACTAACATGGCTACCCATCGTGATCTATCCCTAATACCACAGATTGTCTTACCTAGTTGTTAACATATTGAAGGGATCAAGTGTGGCTAAAGCAGTATTTTATACCCTTATCTTGAAGCGTTTTACTAGGTCAGCAGAAAGGAAATGTTTTGTAAGACAGTTTACTTTGAGGGTTTTTCAACTGGAAAAAAATGCTGGGGGAATAAAGTTGATAGGGGAGGGAACTCCATTTACATTTCTACAGGGATGAGACTATTGAGCTGCCTGTTGCCTTAGCAGTCTCCACAACACCCCTTCAAAGAAGGCCAATGTTATCTCAATATTGCAGACAGGTGCTCTTGAGAGTTAGCAACTTGACTTAGGCCACCTACTAAAATCTCAGGCAAAGGCACCCCATTTATTGATATGGTACCATTTTATCCTGCCAACCTTCTGGTGAATACCAAAAAACAAGGAAACACTGTGATAAAAATAACATTTAATAATTCATGTGAACATCATGAGAGAGAAAGCCAGCCACATGAGAGAGAAAGCAATTGCCAGCCAATTCGAATATAAAAAGGCTTCTAGCCAGATAAAAATAGTGGGCTGGCTGCTACTTCTAGAAATTAAATTGGCTTGCTCCTAATGGAACTTGGAAGTAAGTTTAAAATCATTTAAAAATTATTACAATGCTATATTCCATTCAACTGCATGTCTCTTTCCAATCTCAATAACCATGTTTGTTTTAGGATATTTTGAAAAAGGATTTCAGCTGCAATAATTGCAAGACAGTAAAAAAGAAGTTAAACGGCATTCAAAAGAAGTTAAGCTGTATCAAGGGGTTTACACCTTCCAACCTTAGAGGATTACTCCTGAGGAAGACTAATGAAATGAGTATAAAACTGGGTGCTCATGGAGGATATCATGATGTTGGACTTTTCCTTGAATATGTCAGAATTTCCTAAGCAAAATTGTCATGTTTGAAGAGATATACATATTGATGTTCACATGAATTATTAAATGTTATTTTTATCACAGTGTTTCCTTGTGATCCCTTCCTTGTGCTCAACCTTCTGGTGAAATCAGAACAGTGCGCCCCATTTTGTGCACCTCTGTTTTATCCTCTCAACAACCCTCTGAGGGCAGGAGAGAGCGACTGACCCATGGTCACCTAGCAGGTTTTCAGGGCAGAGTGGGGATTCGAACCCAGAGCTCTGAGATTCTGATCTAACACAGCTACACCACACTGATATGCACTTCAGACTGCAGGAAGAAGGCTGTGTTTCGGGGATCATTCCCATGTTAGAAGTTCCTTGAAAATAGCGAGGTTTGAGTCTGGTAGTGCTTTAAAGAGTGACAAGATTTTCAGGGTATAAGGTGGGGGTGATTTTGGGGGGGGGTGTATGTATGTATGTATATTATTTTTGGGGGGGAACCGAGATAATAAAAAGAAAATACAGAAAAGGAAAAATGAGTACATATTGTGTAATTATATATGTCAAAAGGTGATTATATATAACAAAACATAAGGAATAGGAAACATTTCTCCCCCACACCCCCTTCATAAGAACGTAAGAGAAGCCAATGTTGGATCAGGCAAAAGGCCCATCCAGTCCAACACTCTGTCACACAGTGGCCAAAAATACCAGGTCCCATCAGGAGGTCCAGCAGTGGGGCCAGAACTCCAGAAGCCCTCCCACTGTTGAAAGGTTTTTGGGACACTGTAAAATATAACAAAATTTCTGTTCAACATTTTCCATTTCAGATTTCGTAACTAATCTGTTTCTCAACCGCATTCTTAATTTCACCATTGCCGCATCCTCAGTTCTGCATACTCTCTATCACTTTTGGCAAATAGGTAATGTAACAAAAATACATAAGGGAATCTTATAATACAAAACGAGAAATATTTCTCCCCCAGACCCAATTCCTTACATACATTTATATTCAACATATTTACATTTAGAACTGATCCTTCTGCTCCTTCAGTGCAGCGCATTTAGGTGCATTATTTTAAACCGCTTCTCCATCTAAGTTTGTCTCCTCCTTGCGTATTAGTACACCCTCCGTCTCTCTGCAAATTTCGTAACCGTTCTGTTTCTCAAATAAGTGGTTAATTTCGCCATCGCTGCATATTGGGCAAGTTTATTTTTCTGATTCTAAGATTTTTAGGGTATAAGCTCTTGGGAACAAGAAGACGAAGAACTGCACCAGTCACAGGAGATACAAAGGAAGGCCAAGGCCAATTTTATGACTCTGTTAAATTTCCAGAAATTCCCTACGCGTTCTGCCCAGCAGGCCTCGTTGAGGGAATCTGTTCATCTGGCAGTAGTTCTTCAAAAACAGTAAAAGGTCAGTAGGCCAGTAAAAGATATTTTAGTTAGCTGCGGTGGCTCAAGTGGTTAAGACGCTGAACTGCAGGCTGTAGAAGGACAGTAGTTCAGCAGTTCGAGACCCGGGTGCCGCGTGACGGAGTGAGCTCCCATCTCTAGTTCCAGCTCCTGCCAACCTAGCAGTTTGAAAGCAAGAAATTGCAAGTAGATAAATAGGTTCCACTTTGGTTTTTTTAATGCCCTCTTGAAGCCGTCCATGCTTGTAGCCGCCACCACCTCCTGTGGCAGTGAACTCCATGTGTTCATCACTCTTTGGGTGAAGAAGGACTTCCTTTTATCCGTTCTAACCCAACTGCTCAGCGATTTCATGGAGTGCCCACGAGTTAAGACTAACAAACTTTATTGTAGCATAAGCTTCCGAGAAACAGTTCTCTTCGTTTCAGCCGAATCAGGCCTTCTTCAAAGGTCAAATAATCAGGTTTGTATAGGCACATGTTACAAAGAAATAATGAAGAATATGTCAATAGTGGACCAAAAAAGGAAGGTACAAAAACGAAATTAATAGACACAGGACAGGAATGTTCATGAGGCCTCTTAAGATTAAATCCTCTGTGCAGTGCATATACACAGGTGGTAAATGGTGTTTGGTGTGTCCAGAAATTGTGGTCCAGAAAGTGATGCTGTAACCAATTAGTGTGAGCCAAAATGTCCTCAGTAGAAAGCTCTACCACTGAGCCAGGGCCTCTTCGCCTGGGACCCCAGAGAGCGGCTGCCAGTCTGAGTAGACAATACCGACTCCGAAGGACCAAAGGTCTGATTCGGTTTCAGACAGTTTCACATGTGTTATGGCATTGCTGTAGATTACACTTGAATGCTGCCTGGAGAAAAATTAGGTATACCTAAATATCCATTAGCACTTACCAGTAATTCAGAGGGGATTGGTGTGCCACACTGGAAGAGGCGCATCGATCTGTTTGTGCTTCCAATGTACTTCTGCTTGTCTTTCGGCCAGTCCTACAGCCCTTCTGTGGTGGGGGAAATGCTTGTAGGTCCATATATTTTGTGCGGTAGGAGCAGAAACGAAATTGCACAGAAGTCTGGAACATCCAATATCGTCTTTCCATTTTTGCCATTTAGATGTGCCTTTGCTCCAACTGCAAGTGCTTGGGATGTGTTGGCGACTCCCAGTTCTTTTGATCTTTAGCAATTTGACAGCTGTCTGCACTCTGTACCAAATGCCTCTGCAGGTCCCCTGTCAGGGAATAAATGCCACCAAATCTTTCACTTCACCTCACTACTTAATCCTTTTAACTGGAGATGCTGGGGATTGAACCTGGGACCTCCTGCATGCCAAGCAGAGGCTCCACCACTGAGCCATGGCACCTCCCCATATCCTTCAGGGTCTCAGGCCAAGCAAGGTCTTTCCCATCACCTCTTGCCTGGTCCTTTTAACTGGAGAGGCCAGGGATTGAACCTGAGACCTTCTGCATGCCAAGCAGGTGCTCTTCCACTGAGCCACGGCCCCTCTTGACAGCTCTCCAGGGTCTCAGGGTGAGGTCTTTCACATCCCCTCCTGCCTGGTCTTTTTTAACTGGAGATGCCAGGGATTGAACCTGAGACCTTCTGCATGCCAAGCAGGTGCTCTTCCAGGGTCTCAGGCGGAGGTCTTTCCCATCACCTCCTGCCTGGTCCTTTTAACTGGGATCCTGGGGACTGAACCTGGGACCTTCTGCATGCCAAGCAGATGCTCCACCAATGAGCTTATGGCCACCCTTAGATTTGCTTTTTCACATCTGTTATTTTTAATGTTTTGTCAAATGGTTTTTTCTACGGTCCTGAGATGCTCCAGAAAAAAGTGGGCATGTTAAATTTTTTGAATAAATCAACCACGAGAGCTAGAAGGATGGATTTTTAAAATGAGAAGTTCGGTCAGGCGACCAAACAGGCACTTGCTCCTTCCCCCAAAAAATAGTACCCAACTGTGCAAACTGGAACAGCAAGTTTGACTCCTCCCTGGAACAATCTTCACGCAGGAGGAAGGAAAGGGAGTGGGATTAATCATCCATAAGGACAAAAAGGGATGATAAGATACGAGTTCCCTGTTGCTTCTGTTATCGTAGAGGTAATCATGTGCCTG